AATCTGAAACTCCATTGAAGGGTTTCTCAAAAGTCTAAAAGAATAACAAATGGGTTTGTTTGCAATTTATGTTATTTGTTCCAATTTAGGTCAGCGATGTAATCTATTTGTGATTTTGAGTTTGTATTTCTGATTTGTTGAAGATTTCTGAACTCTCTGTGAAAGTTCATCAAGAAGCTTTGTTTCAATTTTATTAGTATCATTTTGAAATATTGATTTTTCTTGTCCAAAATACAAAGATTCATCCTCTTAAACAGGGGTTATTTTCAGTTTTGTCTCAGATTGGAGACTCTTTTGCCTTCCGAAGCTCATCGAAATCGGCTCGTGGTCGTGGAAGCTTGTGGCTAGCTCGTGCTCAGTGTCGCTGCTCCAAAGAAGGTAATTCCTTTTCGTTGAATTTAGTTTTCAGTTTTCGGAATTATAGTTTAAACTCTGAATACTCTTTTATATGTTCAAGTTCCTTAGTTGAAATTTTGATTAATTGATCGATTTATGTGACTCAATCTGTTAGTATGTTACAATCTTACTGATTTAGTTTGCTTTCTATACTAGTTGATGCCTTTTCTAGTTCTCATTTCTGTTCCTTAGGGTGATTTGTGTTCCTGTTTGAATTTCCTTCAATATGAAGTGTGTTTCTTATATTAATGTATCTAAATGTGTTCATATTTTGAATCATGTACTCCTTATTTGATTATTTCAGATGTTGGTCTTGTTCTCTATAATGTTACGGTTCATATGTCAATGGATATAAACATCCATTATGACTATTTTGACTTTTTTCTGAATTAGTTTTTGAATTTGGCCTTCATTTTAATATCCAAGTTAATCTTGTTTTTAAGTTCAGACTGTACATTTTTCTCATTTGTGAAAGTCAGATCTTGTTTAAGGCTAGAGGACTCTTGATTTTAACTCTTTTAGTGTAATCAAGATTCTGTTTAAAAATCGTTTAAGCTATAACATGGGCTGGTGTTTCCTGTGTCTTTGTTTGTTGTGAATAGAGTCAGCACTTCGTCTAAATTCGCTTTTGACATCTTTCGCATGTGCGAGTTCGGGGCTTATTATAAGTAGAATTTAAAGTTTATTCTCTTGTCAATTGAATTTGTTAGTCTGGTTACATGTTTCCAGCAGTGTGAGTTATGTTCTTTGTCAACAAGCATTCTGGGTTGTTTCTGCTTAAGGTCATTTATTTAAGTGTCATTGCTTCTGATCAAATTTTTGAAGGATTGGTTTAGTATGTATTTGGTTAGAGTTCAGTCGTTTGTGCTTACCAAATTATGAAATCTGATAGTTTATCAATCTTGTTATTATTTTCTCTCGAATTGGTCAGTCCTACACTTCTTACATACTAGACGATCAACTGTATAAAATTAGTTTGATTTCATTTCTTATTCCATATTGTGGCAGCCCTATACCTTATATAAAGTCCTTGGAAATTGGATATACAGATTTCTAAAGTTTTGAATTTGCTAGACTCTTCTTTGTTTAGCTTCTGATGGCTTTTCTCTTAAAAATGACATTTTATATTTAGGGATTTTTTGAGAATTTGATGTTGAACCTTAGAGTTTCAGATCTGTTTTTTGGTAAACTGATTAGGAAATGCTAACTTTGCACTTGCAAGTCCTCATGATGTATTAATTTTTAGCTTGTAGATTCTGATTTACCTTATTCAGCTACAAGTGACTCATGTCATTTGGTTGTCCATTAACATGCATTAAAAACTCTTTACCTGTAAATTTTGTTGTATAAAGATAATGGACTGAGTTTTGTAGTTGATGTAAGATCAGCTTATGAAAATGAAATCAAGGACGAGCTCTTGAAGTTAAGCATTAGGTAAGGTTATGTACAAGCATTAACAAAAAAAACTTTAGGTCTGGACAGTACAAATAGCCTTCTTTGATTTAATAAATGCAAAAAGATATTGATTCCCCTGTTCCATTAAATTTTCAGCATGTTACCAAGTGTGAATTTGTTAAGTAATGACTGATGAACTTGCTCTAATTTTAAGAAAATCAATCAGCATTCTGGTTTTTCAGCAAAATACTAGAAAACTTGCATTCATTAATCATTTAACTACACTAAATATCTATTGTTTATGTTTCCTGTAGAAAATTCTTTCACTAAGGCTAACACTAAGTTATTCAAGATGAAACAATCAGATTGTGTGCTAGTTGAAACTATCTGATCTCATATTCTGGAATCTTTCTCATTTACTGGTGCTAGGTGCTAGATGCTTGATTTACTTCAAAGTAGCATTAGATGTAGCTAAAGGCTGGCATTTCTTCTTCTGCTAGTCCATCACTTGCTGACATTATTAGAAGCATTAGATGTACTACCATTACAGTTAAGTTAGGATGCTTGTTCAGAACTAATGTTCCATCTCCATTTACTGCATCATTCTTGCTTAATGCTGCAAGACTGATCACTTCAACTCCTAATTTATCAGCTCTAGGAATTAATTTTTCTATTTTTCTATTAATACCATCTGCTGCAAATGGCAAGACTACTAAAACCGAAGCGAGGGATAACCTGTGTTTAGTGCACGTAGCCATTTAGATAGTATGAAGTTTCAAAAAACTTGGAGTAGATCCACATGATTTTCTTCTAAAAAGAATCTTTGTTTATGTATAATTGCACTTTCTTGCTTTATGCTTATTTGCTATTGTTACTTTTGTTGTTGTTGTTGTTGTTCCATCAGAAAGTTAGATTTATGCAGTTCTACTGATAAAAAATGTGCGTTTTAAGTTCTTGGTGATTATTTGTTCAGATTTGAATAGTCATGAGTCAACAAGAGCCTTCAAAA